AGCGTCCCTTTAAATATAACCTTTTTACCTCTGTTCTGCATTAACGTACTTGGCGCGTGGAAAAAAAAAGTGTGGTAAATAAAGAGTGCAGAAGATGTAAATATTTAAACAAATACGCCAGGTAAATGGGAAACAGAAAAAAATAGACATGATTTAGGGTGGGGGGAAATATAAAAGGCGAGCTAAAAGCTTGAAATTACGTAAAATAGTTTACAATTTTTATTTGGATACGCGCAACTGTGAAAAAGGAAAAAAAATTACCGGAGTTATCTAACTTTGGCGAGGACAATAAAACCGCGAGGAAGTCATGTGTTAAATCTTTCCTTGTTGCCTTTGAAGCTTGAGCTTGATGGCGGCTGGTGAGAAAATATTTGTGCCTCACGTGACTGGCGGGTATGACGTCATAGGCTGCAGTCAGGGAGTATGGTTGTCCGGCTAGGCGCGGGTATGTTTTTGTGATTTTGTTTATCTGTGTTTGTGGGTGATGCTGTAGGTTTATTAAGGATTTATACGTATGTTTGAGTGGTTTTTTTTTCATATGTCTGTGTCCATATGGGACATCTTGTGATGGTTTGTCTGTATGTTAATTTTTTTGGCTTCTGTTTATATTTGTATATTTGTTTTAGCAAACGTGTGTTGTGCGAATATTTGTATTTTGTTATGCACGTGTGCGTGTGTTTGTTTGTGCGTATTTCTGTGCAGATTTTAAGGTTACGTAGTTGGTTCCTGATTGATTTATCCACCTATCGCCCATCCCCCCCCCCGCCCCAGATAAACACAGAGAAAGGTGAGATGAGACAATGACCCACCTACAGGTTTGTGAGCTGGCTTAAATATCTCTGTGGATATCTTAAGGAGATCGAGGTGGTTGGGAGGTGGTGGGTGGGGGCAAGATGTTGGCGTGGAGGATGTTGGTGTGTGGCAGATGTTGGTTGCTGGGTGGCAGGTAATGGTGTGTTGGTGTGTGGTAGGTATTGGTGTGTTGGTGTGTGGCAGGTACTGGTGTGTTGGTGTGTGGTAGGTATTGGTGTGTTGGTGTGTGGTAGGTATTGGTGTGTTGGTGTGGCAGGTATTGATGTGTTGGTGTGTGGCAGGTGTTGGTGTGTGGCAGATGTTGGTGTGTGGCAGGTATTGATGTGTTGGTGTATGGCCGATGGTGTGTGTGTGTGGTGATACCACGTCTAATCTCTATTAGAACAACAACAGAGGTACTTGATGAGTTATAAAGCACCGAGAGTTAGCTTTGTTCTTTTCGTTGGTCTTGTGGTCCAACGTTGGCCAAATATTTCACTTTCACTTGTAGCTGTAAAGTGGCCAAATATTAAATGTTTACTTGTAGTTTTATAAATGTTTATTTAATCTTTAGATTAATGGCCATCTGGATGTAAATTTAAGGTACATAACATTGTTTGAATCCCTTGATGCCATTTAGATCTCCGGAGCGACATATCCGGTCAAGTATGTAATGATAGAGAGACGGTGTTAGGAAGGAGAGAAAGGAAGGGGGAAAAAGGAAACAATTACATCCATGAGATCCAAGAGGGGAGACTCAATGGCAAATTTAAGTAAGAGATTCCGAAGTCCCGTCACCGAGGTTTTTTTCTCTAACCAGTTTTGACCGATCTTTGTATTTTTTTTTGTTCTTAACTTTCCGTAACTTTACCTCATTTTCTCGATTTAACATACGAAAGCTATATAGGATCGTCATATAGCAATGCTATATCAACATATGGCAATATTACATCTGCAAATTTACAGCATCATACGGCAATGTTACATCAATATCCGTTAATGTACCAACAATACATAAAAACACATTGAAGTAAAATTTATATTTATGTTCATATTAAAGCTGGAAGCTGCTATATCTTTGATGTGTCATTATAATATATTATTATTTCATAAAAACTAGAACGTTAGATAACGTGGAAAGGAACGGGACAGTAAATAATATTTTAGAACATACGAGCCAGCGTCTTTCAATAAAAAAAAGATTATTTCACGGTCTGCGTTGCGTACTGGCTAGGTTTAGTAATCTGACGCGAAGCGCGCGATATTGGGACCTGGAGAGCGAGAAATGACGAGATCCACAGGTGCAGGGGCCGTGAGTACCTCTTGGTGAGATCGTCGCGAAATGAGAGATTCGTGTTCCATCGTCTGCTGGCCAGGCACGGACGAGGGTTGAGGGTGCTGTAGTCAGTTAGAGACCCGGGGGTGGGGGGCAGGGGGACGGGCGTGGTTAATGGACTTACTGATGCGTTTAGAAATACTTAACAGTGCATTGTAATTAGCCTGGTTGTGTCCCTTGAAATGCCAGATAGGTCAGGTCAATTCTAGAAGCGATTTCTTGGTGGACACAGAGGGTGCTGCAAGTGGTGCACACGTTGAGTGGTGCTTGGCTGCATGGTGGTGTCTGAAAGGTGGTATAGGACACACAAAACATGGTATCTGAAAGGTGGTGCGTAACAGAATATGAATAAATGATAGGTGATATGTGATATAAATATGGAATATGATAGGTGATATGTGATATAAATATGGAATATGATAGGTGATATGTGATATAAATATGGAATATGAAAGGTGGTATGCCACAGAAATATGGGATATGAAAAGTGACATATAACAAAAAATAGGAGGTCTGGTGGTAGTATATAAGAGATATGTGGAATATGAAAGGTGGTAAATACAGAAATAATGAAATATGAAAGGTGGTAAAAAATGTGGATTGTGAAAAGTTGTAATAACAGACATGTGGTAAAGACAGAAATGTGGTGGTAAATAAAAGAAATATGGACTGTGAAAAGCGGTGAGTCTATATAACGAAAGAAAGGAATATAAAATGTGGTTTATAAATTAAAAATGTGGAGCCCGAAAGGTGGTAGCTCTTCAAGACCTCTATCCAACTTTCTATTTCATGTGTAATGTATTAAACGTTAGGTTGATTCTGTTGTCCTATCTTTCAAGTGTCCGCCCAAAATGAATGCATATTTCCTAACGTCATCTCTATCAAGAGAGACGTGCTGTAGACACCCAGGATTGTTCCGGAAAGTTCCGATACCACATCCATACCAGCTTGACTCTCAACCCGATTAGCACACGAAAAAAAAAATATTGAGTTCTCTCCCTTGAATTTTTAACTGCTGTGCACTGTAGACGCGATACGGCAAGAGGTGAAAGGATGCTGATAAAAATGTTCCAGCGATCTTGTCCCCTCCAAACAGGCAGTTTATGCTCAAATAAACAGGCAATTTATGACATCAAATAAACAGGCAGTTGATATCTATCGTCACGGTTTCTGCAAAAGTTGGAAACTCAAAGCGGAGATAGAAAAATAACAAAACAAACGAAACTTAGTTGCACCAAAGTTGTAAGCGGGATGTCTTTAAGTAAAGTAAAGATTCCTCTTTAGACCTAACGATATATTCGGAAGATGAAGTGGAGTTCATATGTTTCTTGACCTCGGCATATAAAGGGATAATGTGGTCAGCACTATGCCCAGGCACCTTTACTTTACCTAATGTGAGTTAGGTACCCATCAGAGTTGATTGGACTCAGGGACTTTCCACTAACTTCAACCCGGATTCGAACTCGAAACTACCGGGTTAGTAGTCTAGCGCTCCACCGCTAGGCCACGCCGTCCCATAAGAAAACCTTTAGATACACTTGAAAAGTGAAAAAAAATTATTTTGATTCTGATAGTACAAAGATTGAAATTTACAGATAATTTTCTCAGATACGTAGCTATTTAAGATAAATAAGGTACCATCTCAAAAGACGAAACGTCAAGTGATTTTGTTCCGTTTCAGAATTGATACAACTGAAGGGCAACTTGGCCATGGATAGAAAATTTGAATTTGAGGATATCTGGCAAGGTGGTGCATAACAACACGTTCTTCTGAGAGCTTTGTCTACTGCCGCATAAGGTTTGACTGTGGTGACGTCATTTCTGTAACGCCAGATTTTTGTGAGGACAAAACGTGACCGTCTGTATGAATTTAAGACAATCTGTCTGAAGACAAGACCGTCTAAGACAAGACAGTCTGTATAAAGATATAATAAGAGTGTGCTTGAAGACAAGACAAAGACAGAACGTAATGGCGATTTAAAAAAAAATAAAGTGGACTGGATTATAAACTCCACGAAACGACAGGGCGACATATTTTAATCGGCTTATCTCCTCCTGGCGATCAGACTCGACGTTTCTATACTCCCCCACCCATCCACTCCCTCCTCTCCCCAGTGTTGCAGTGTTCTGAAACATCCCAGACGCCCACCACAACTACAGCTCCATATACCGTGCACTAGGACATCTACACAACTTGCTTGTAAGATCATGTACCGTGCTCTAGGACATCTACACAACTTGCTGGTAAGTGGCTTGTTGTTAAACTCATAGAACCGTCAGGGACAAGAACATCGACACAACTTGAAAGGTTTGGATGTTGTCATGGTTACGTGATGATTAATCCTTGGGTCTAGTCTATGCTGGTGTGTTCTAGCGGTCAAGTCGATGTTGGTGAGTTCTTGCGGTCAAGTAAGTCGATGATGGTCAGTTCTTGAGGTCAAGTAAGTCGATGTTGGTCAGTTCTTGTGGTCTAGTAAGTCGATGTTGGTCAGTTCTTGAGGTCAAGTAAGTCGATGGTGGTCAGTTCTTGAGGTCAAGTAAGTCGATGTTGGTCAGTTCTTGCAGCCAAGTAAGTCGATGTTGGTAAGTTCTTCCAGTCAAGTAAGTCGATGCTGGTCAGTACTAGCGGTTAAGACTATTCACAAATTTCGGTGAAGCGGAACGTTACGTGACTGGGCACGATTTAAGCTGCTTGGCCACAATTGTGTTGACATTAATGGTCAGCCCAGTGACGTCATCGATGACCACCAGTTCTCTATCTTAATGACACCACTGATAAACCCCATCCAAAACAACATACCACATCCACAACAACAAACCACATCCAACACAACAAACCACACACGAAACAAAATAAAACAACCATGGATAGTTCAATATAAACAAACCAGTTTATTTGTTATTCATTTCTCTCAAAGCAAGAATTTTAGTCTACAAGTCAGTCCTGTGCTAATTCAGACACAACAATCAAGGTTGATCGGAGACAGATGATAGATAGATGATAGACCTGACATGGAAAAAAATCACAGACAAAATGATGACGTGAAATAGGTTGAGCCCAGGGTTCACTCCCATGGTTCGTCATCACGCTAGGTGACGTCATCGCTACAGTCTAGAACTGGAACTAAAAATAGACTCACTAATCTTAAGGTGTGGAAACCAAATATTTGTGTGGGGACAAGAAAGCTACAGTAAAAAGAAAATAATATAATTAAGTGTGGTTCTCTTAGTTCGGTAATTGCAATAAGCAATTGTTAATAGATTAACAATGCCAGTCTTAAGCTGGAGTGATAAGAATATATGTTTAAATTATACTTTTATTATTTCTATAAAAATAAACATCTAAAAATATCTCACAAAAATTAACATATTTTCATTTATGCTTTCAAATCAATTACCATTCCAAATATTTTTAAAAAATAAAATTACAATTTAAAAAAAAAAATCCAACCCAGTGTAAAACTAGTGAAGGTTTGAGATTAAAACAATTTTGTAACAATCAGTTGAGATATAGAGAAAGTACTTGTGTAAACACAATCCTATGTTTTCTATGAATTCAGCAACATCAGCTGGTACAATGTGTTGGTGAAAAATAAAACATGAAAGAATGAAATCTAACAGGTTCACAACCAGTTCAAGTTCCTGATTCAAGTTTGATTAACATAAAAACAGTGCCCTCATCTTTTTACTATTATATCCCTTATCTAACCTTAACCCTAATCTATCACTATTAGATCCTTTATCTAACCTTAACCCTAATTGTTTACTATTAGATCCCTGATATCTACCTAACCCTAACCTTTAACTTCAGGTGTTCAGTAACATGAATGAACTTCTAACTTAAATGTTTAGTTACTGTAAACTGATGTGTAACAAGGGATAAGCTAACCCTAACCCAAATGCGTAACTTGTGAAAGTTGTCCTGTACTAACCAAGTCCTGACCAAGTTTTAGTTTAGTTATCTAGTGGGTTGGTGGACAGGGGGGGGGGTCTAAAGAGTCTGGTGGTAATGACCCACCAGGACCCACTCTATTAGTGTTTGAGTTACTAGGGAGCAGAGAAAGCCAATGTGTCTGAGAGGCATCAAAGAGTGTTAGTTCAACTAGCTAGGTTTTTTTTACTCATGGTGTGTCAGGCACAACACTTGGATGAGAAAAAAAAAATTATTTAAAAAAATATGAAAAGCAAAGCAGAGTGTGGGAACATGGGGGGGTATCATGAGAAACACAATCATGGATGCAGATTCATCAAACTGCTAAACATAGAAAAACAAAATCAAAAGTGACCAAAAAAAAAAAAAAAAACCTAAAAAAAAATAATCAGTGTGAACAAATCAGTTAAAAATATGGCACTGTCAACAATGATAGGGGGCGTGGCCAGTCACATCATTCAAGGGAGAGTTACATGATGGAGGGGAGCTGAAGAGATTATACAAGCATGTTTCATTCTGTACATTGATGGACTTCTTTAGTGTTTATGTGTGGCCGATGAAAAAAAAATATAAATGTACGCAAATTAATGAAACAAAATTTATAAAAAAATAATTAGAAAGCAATTATGTATAGTATTATATTATATCAATCTTATATGCATATTATTTATTACATAATGAGAGCAATAACAGAAACAATTCTATATAGAAATATGTAGGCTTTAAGTTTATAGTAAATATATATATATTTATATGTATATATATTTGTATTCACACTCTAAACCTGTATTAGTGGGAAAAAACACATGCAAACTAGTCTTTCATAGCCATTTTGTGTTAATGATCAAACGTTCACCCATAGAAATTATGATTGCATACTGGTGAATCATACTTTCTCTTTGAGACAAACCAAAACAAATTAAAAAAAAATTTTTTTTCTCAAGAAAACAAAAACCAGCAAAAACAAGGAAAAAAATATTTTGTTCTTGCAGTGGTTGGTGGAATGAAGAAAAAAAAAAGACTGACAGTTAGTGGGGAAAGGGCAGGGGAGGGGGGATGGTTTCTGGTGAAATTTTAAAACAACATTCTACTTCATAGTATACACAAACTGACAGGTTCAGTTCTGAATAGAGTCAGAATATTTTGCATGTCCAAATCTTAAAACAACAAAATGCATATTGTAATGATTAAAACAAACAAATAAACAACAAAAAAATAAACAACCTTTGAACTAAAGAACAAAGCAGAAGCAACATAGAAGCAGTGAGAAAATGATTTTTTGTGTGTGAATCTTCTGACTTTGAGGTAAACCAACTGTACAGTGGTGATCAAGAACACAAGTTGTTTTTCTTAATTTATACAAGTAACCCCTGACCTCGCGGACAATTATGGCACCATTGATTTAATAATATGGCAATAGAACAAAATGTACATAGCCTCAGACCATATCATGGCCTGGGCTGAATCAACCAGCTAACTAAATCAAAACATTTGCACAGTTATTAAGCATTTACAGTAAAAAAACATAATTAAAATATAACAACAAAGAAATTAAGTAACCCATATGAAAAAAAAAAGAATTAAATTCCAACTTGCTAGCAAATATTATGGCAAAAACCAAAAGGTCAAGTCTAAAACAACATAAAAACAATACCACATGTAGTCATCTAGTTGATCACAACCAGAGAGCACACAGAATCAATCAATCACACAGCAATCAACGAGCCAGCAATCACTCAGATGACAATCACCCCCCCATACAGCCCTGTAGATCTAGCCTATAGCTGCCTTAAGGACACAGATTGTGCCTGTTGCTAGAGATGGAGGAAGAAACCATGGCAGAGATAAGAAAACCAAAATTATGCCCAGTGAGATTGAAAGAAACAAAGCTAAGACCAAAGTAACAACTTCCATTCACTAACTTCAATTTCTTTCTGCTGTCAAGTAAAAAAAACAACAACAAAGCATTGGAAAATATTTTGCCAACCCAATTATGTTTAGCTGATCTATTATACTTGAATGTCTAACAAAGTCATTATGACTAAATTAATTATGGCCAAGTTCAAGGTTTCCAAAATATTAAGTACACAGATACAAGGGAATAAATTTCGACCATAAACCCTATCACCATTGCCCCCACCCAGAAGTAAAAAAAATAATTTAATATTCATAGAAAAAAAAAGCTGAAACAGGATGGCACATGTAGATAGCACAGGCCCTTCTCATTTACATAATTTATGCAAATGAGCGAGGGCATAAAAAAATTAAACTATGACAATAGGTGAAATCAAACAAACAATGAGAAACATGTTGAAATAATTGAAACAGCAATCACAATAGGAGGAATCTTAAACTCTAACAACTAGTTGAGAGGGAGTGGGGGGTGGGGCTAAATAAAGTGGGTCCCAAAGTAAATAAAACAACTAGATAAAGCAAGAATACACAACAGAGTTACCTAGCTATGTTTCCATCACAGGGAACAGGCCCTATACCAGTTAACATGTACACAGGCCCTTTGTAAGACCCCTGCTGGGCTTGGTAGCTCAGATAATGAGACAAAGCACTACTGAACATTCTGGACAAATAAATCAACAACAGAACAACAGAAAATGTGATTGGGGGATGAGATCTCTCATGTAGTCTCCACCTTGCTGGGGCTAACATTGCATGCTACTCTGTCGACTGGCAAAGTAGGGGCTGAGGCTCAATGGGCCACAAGGGATCTAGTGGCTTATTGGGCCTCCAGGCTCAAAGGCCATAGTGGCTCAATGGGCCACACAGCCCATATATGACTCCACTAACAAGAGTTGATGAGCCTGTAACTTGTGGCTCATTGGGCCTCAAGATTTGTATATGGCACAAAAGAAAAAAAAAAGTTCTCCAGTGAGCTGGGATGGCTGTAGCCCTGCATAAAGCATCAAGAGGATGCTGAGTATTTCTAGAACATGTCAACATAGGGGGCGCCACCAGGCCATTCTCAAACACCTGGCAACTTGCAGACCATCCTGTCTCCATGGTAACCCGGCACTGTTAGACCAGCGCCAATGGACAGGTGAACCCAGCAGAATGTCAGATTCAGATCATGGTGTACACTGTCTAGCCTACAGGATACAACGCCATTGCCAGAGAAAGTAAAAATTCAATGTATAATAATATTATTATATAATATATATATATATATTTTCTTATGGTCATATGAAAAAACTTGCATCCATAATGGAGGGAGAAAAATGGCACAGGAAGGGGAGATATTTACAACCAGTGGATTATGGGAAGCTGGTTTTTTTTTTAAAGTGTAAATATTTCAGCCACATATATCTTGCTGTCATTCAGCTTTACAAAAAAAAAATGTAGCGCCATTATCCAAAAAGGGGGGGATGGGGGGCGGAACTTGAATGAATATACTCTATGGAAATATCATAGAAAAGTAAATAAACAGATTATGCTTGGGTAACAAGAGGCTGTGTGAGTCCCTGGTGGTAGATCACAACAAAGAGAGGAAAACAGGGTCCACTGCAACAAGCTGGTCTAGGAGCTGCTTCAGTACACACCCGAGGCTGCGTCTGACTGCAGGCTCATTTCCCCGTTGGATTCAGAACTCAAGTCTCCAGACTCTGAAGTCAAAAGTCTGGCATTGCGGTTCTCAACACACTTGCGCATGTGTTTCTCCAGGGTGCTGGGCACGGAGAAGGGCATGTTGCAGAACTTACACGTGTACACGTCTTTACCCAGGCGGCCGTGCGTCTTCATGTGTCGGGTCAGTTTGCTGGACTGAGCGCAGGCGTAGCTGCAGAGGCTACACTTATAGGGCTTCTCCCCCGTGTGGGAGCGTCGGTGCACTGTCAGGTTGCTGCAGTTTTTGAACACTTTCCCACAGAACTCACACGTGTCGTTGCGCCGGTTCTCCTTCCTGGGCGGAGTGTTGAGGCCGGAGCCGTTGCTGGGCATGAGCAGGTTGCCGGTGGGGCTGCTGCTGGAGCTGGAGGTACCGCGGCGGTGTGAGCTGGGGTAGTTGGGGGGGCTGGCCAGGTTGGGTTTGAAGAGCGAGGGGATGCTGGGACTGTCAGTTTTTAAGGCACTGCTGGTGGTGGCCACACCTGGACTGAGGTTCAGACCGTTGTGAGCCTCCGGGTTCAAGTTCAAATCTTGGGAGAATCTGGGCGGATAGCTGGGAAAAAACAGCCTGACTGGGTTGTCTGGGTGATACCAAGGATAGGTGCTCCTGTACAGAGAGGCTGCTGCAGGGTCCATGCCCCGTGATAATGTATCAACAGACGTGGCCCAGTCTCTCTTCAAGGATTTACTCAGAAGGTCGGTGCCACCAAGGAAAAGGTGATCTTTTTGTCCAGATTTTTCAGAGTCCTTCTCCAGTTCTAGCTCGCGCTTGACCCCTGTCCTGGGGCTCTTGGGGCTGTCGCTGTTGGCCGAGTCCTGGCTGTCCCGGCTGTTTCTGTCCTCCACCTTGTCCTTGCTGTTCTCCTGGCTCTCAGCCAGGGCCGCCTTGAAGGCCTCGCTGTATGTCTGGATGTTGTTCAGGCCAGAGTTCTTCATCACTTCGCTCAGCAGGCTCTCCACGGGCTTGGCCTTGAGGGACAGGTCATTGGGCAGCTCGTCGCGGGCCCCTGGCAGATCGTCGCGAGCATCGGACTCCAGCTTGATCTTCTTCGCCACATGCCTGATCTCGCCAGGCTCTGGCGTCGTCTCTTCGTTGCCGTTTGCTGCTTTCTTCAGCTTCTCCAGAACCTCCCTCTCCTCATCGTTCATTTCTTCTTCACCCATGTCATTATCATCCATTTCCTCATCTTCTTCCTCCTCTTCTTCTTCATCATCTTCCTCCTCCTCCTCTTCTTCATCTCCTTCCTCTGCTTCCTCTTCTTCTTCTTTCGGATGAATGGCACCACTGGGCGACGTTGCGCCTTCTTCAGTTTTTGTGGCGTGTGTCTTCATGTGTCTCTTGAGTTTGCTCTGCTGCGTGCAGGCATGAGGGCATATAGAACACTTGTACGGCTTTTCGCCTGTGTGAGATCGCCGATGTACAACCAAATTGCTCTGGAATCGGAAAGACTTGCCACAGAACTCGCAGGATTTCAACTTGGGCGCCAAGCCCGCGGCCGTGGATAAACTTGAACTCCTGGGAGACGAGGCTTCTAGAGAGGGACTTTCAGGCTTGGATGAGTTGGGCGTGGCTGCGATGTTGGGGGGTTGGCTGGACGTGAACTGAGATTTGGAGACCACGGGGGAGCTGGCCAGCTGCTTGAGGCGCATCGAGTAATAGTCATAGTTGCTCTCGAACGCCGGGGACAGGTGGGCGCGGGTTCGGTCGTACGAGGTGAAGGTCTGGTGATCGAGTCCCGATGAGCCGCGGGGGTAGAGCTGTGGACGCAACCTGTAGTCTGTGATGATATCAAAGTCAAAGTTGCCTCGGGAGAAGGGGCTCAGGGAGGTGGGGTGGGGCATGCGGGTAAAGGGGGAGGCGAAGGGGTTGGGGGCGTGCACGGGGAAGGGTGAGGCTGAGCCGCCACTCCCGCTAGAAGACACAGATCGGTGGTCCATGCCTGACCGAGGCGAGGAGGCCACGACGAGGTCGATGGGGGAGATGGGTACGGGCGTGGAGGCAGCTGATGGCGAGTGGTTGGATGAGTTGGTGTAGATCTTCATGCCGTGCTCCTTCTGGGCGTGTTGCAGCAGCGCCCAGGCCGAGGTGTAGGTGCTGCGACATGTCTCACATACAAATCTGGACGGTTCTGAAACAGAGAGGAATTTGTTACCAAAACGTCAACACATACATTTACAGTTACGGCATTTGTGTGTGTGTGTGTGTGTGTGTGTGTTATTCTAATGTCCACATCTATTTAAAAAAAAAAGTAAAGTTTAGGGAAGTGATCGTGTCAACAATAACCGATGTCAAAGTAAAAAAAAAAAAAATAATCCGCTAACCGCCAGCCGGCTCGCCCCAATACTTAGCGGGGCGAGGTCGTTGACCTAGAGGAATTTAACTGGCCACATGACCCATACAACAGGTACAAGCATCTTGGTTAACCTACATAAGCACCAGTGGGTTGGGGGAGAGGGAGGGGTAAGGGAGGAGATACTAACGACCGCGGTCCATCATTACGCCCGCCCCACCTCCTGCCCATGTACATTTATTTGTAGGAACTTGCACGCATCATAGACTCTATAGCTGTCAACTGGTCCAATGTTAGTGTTTTCTACATCATGAACCGACCAAATGTGTACAGCAGACCCGAGAGAAAAACTCGATAGACTTCAACCAAAAAAAAAAATACATACGGTGACCAGAGGAAAAAAAAGGTGACTGAAAAAGTAACAAACAATAAGGAAAAAATATAAGACTGATATTTTAGAATGAAATAGAAATCAAACTCTATATTAAGCTGGGCTAATCAATAACTCAAGGATATTATTAGGTCGGCGTGATTGAAAAGGCGTGACGATAAAAGACAAGCGTGAATACTGTTAACTGTTTGCTTATCTTCACATGTAAGCAAACAGAGGTAGCCCATCAACGGGAGAAAACCCCATCCTGTTAACACGTCTCTACCCACTTGCTTAGTCTAATGATGTGCTATATAATTCATGGATTAACTCCCCTAGCAAAGGTCGGCCGATGGCTGTGATGTACGCTAGTGATTCCACTAGTCTGATTGTCGTGTGATTGCAGATTAACTAATTTCGCGATATCAGAGCAGGATAGTCACCGATAGTTCGTTTGAAGTGCACTAAAAGCACTCGACCATGCGCTCACACACTAGATAGCATATGATATGAAATTACAATTTATTAGTGGGACAGTGTGTGAGTATTTGTGTGAAAAGTGGTCCACACACACATCCATACAACTGAAAGGTGCCCACACCTACAATATTTTCTTTCACGCCCCCCCCCCTCCTCCCTTTTAATGAACATGTGAGGTACATAAGCTACACACAAACAATATGCGCATATATAAAATAGCGCGCCCTCACACACACTGGCACTTCTGCAACACCCCCACAAACAATATACTTTCCCACACACACCTACAATATACCCCGCCAGCAAACACGCACAATGTGTCCTCCCCCACCCTATCACACACACATACTTGCCCCCCCCCCCCCCCTCCCACCAATGTGCTGTGCTAGCCACTGACGCCGAGTGTATAAATAAAGCCGAGATGGCGGGAAACTAGGCTACAGCCAGTTTACGGGTGTCCCAGTTTCGCCGCGGCTGCAAACAAACGAATGCCAATATTTCACCAGGAGCGGTCAGCCTCGTTAGAATATTGTTCAGATTTTCATCTCGGCCCACTAGACTGTGGTTACAGTTAACATGGGCCCTACAGCACTGTATATTTTACACAGTAGTCACAACGTAGCGAATTATGGTAGGACTAATTCCATGTTATACAAACCACAATAATGACAGCTAAAGGTGCCAGTCATTGTGTATGGAGTTTAAACCAAACCATTCATACTTTTTTTTAGTGAGCCTTTCCTTCTGACACTTGAGACACATGTAGCTATGAATATCAACAGCCTGTATATGGTGCTTATTCAACCTGAACGGGTAATGCCCCCTCCCCCCCTCCCGTTTTGACGCCCCCATGCTGTCTCTTGTTCCTATGGTTTAACTGTCCAACATCTACTATAGGAAGAAAGAGTCACGAGCTAACAAAGCCACTGATTAAAACCCCAGTGAATCCGCCCCATCCAGCAGACCAACCTACGTAATAAGCAGGGGAGTCAGGCCAGTCCAGGTTCTACTGGCCACATGCGGGCTGACCTAGTTTCAGGTCAGATCAACATTGCTAATCTCTGGAGCCAGCCTGGGTATCCTGGGCTGAAGGGGGCGCCAGGTCTGGCCTTAGATGACCTCTACTGACTCACGTCGGCTGGCCCAGACATAACGTTAGGCAAGATCTCAGGCGAGCAGTTCACGGCACATTGGCACCCAGGTACACAGGATGTAACCCCCCCCCCCCCCCACCACACCACTGTGTCAGGTTACCTGGGGGCGGGGAGAAAATACCATCGGTCATCTAGGTCAATTGTTTTTAGCCTCTCATCCTACACCAATAGGGCTAGCAGAAATACTTCTAAAGTTGTAGCAAGATTTGTAGGGAGAAAAAGCTACGACTACAACCCTATTTACAAGATACAGAAACAACACAGCATAATTTGTGGCTACTGCAATAATTGTATGGTTGAGTGTAGTGTGGACTAGCAACTTGCCAGTGACATGTAAAGATTGCACTAAATAAAAACACGAGCCAAATGTGTGGTTGCCACAACGGCCTTCACACACAGGGGCTCTCAAATAGTTTCTATTGTGTTTTCCTGACGGCGCCTCAGTGGAATGTACCCGGGGGAGGTACCCACACATTCAAGGGGCCCTAACGTCCTCGACTTTTGTCCCGAGGTATGCGGGCATCTACCCCTGGCCGGGCTCAAGCTACCCCAACAATACACGCGAGTTGACCCGGATCTGTCCAGGTGACAATAGAGCATGGTAATTATCAAAGACGCTTCTAGTCTACACTTTCTGGCATGTTAGCAGGCGTCAGTGATGCTGGAGTCTGGGGGCGTGTATTCAACTGACGCCGCTATAGCAAGATCTATTAACAGCTTCAACTGACGCCGCTATAGCAAGATCTATAAACAGCGTCAACTGACGCCGGTATAGCAAGATCTATAAACAGCGTCAACCGACGCCGCTATAGCAAGATCTATAAACAGCGTCAACTGACGCCGCTATAGCAAGATCTATAAACAGCGTCAACTGACGCCGCTATAGCAAGATCTATAAACAGCGTCAACCGACGCCGCTATAGCAAGATCTATAAACAGCGTCAACAGACGCCGCTATAGCAAGATCTATAAACAGCGTCAACAGACGCCGCTTTAGCAAGATCTATAAACAGCGTCAACTGACGCCGCTATAGAGAGAAATATCAATGGCGTCAAACAGACGCTGGCCTAAAATACTGACCACTATCAATGACGTCTTGACCCCCAGGAAATCCAACGCTAACAATCTCGCCTGCTATCTGAAAGATGTTCGTTAACCTAATTCCAGGCGTGGCTAGCGGCCGACGGTGATGGACCCAGGCTTAGGCCATCTACGGCTTTGTGTTTTTCAAAAGTCGGAAACTAATTATTCTCGGCCGTCACCAGCGTCCAGTGGCCGGCCTCGCGTGCACGCAATGTTTGTGGGCCGGCTCAATATTGGGCTAGCCAGTGATTAACCTAAATCACTGGTTGGCATGGAAGCCACTTTTAAAACTCATTTCCGTCTATCTACTGGACTGATGGGGAGGGGAGGGGGGAGGAGAGAAAACAGTTCACACTTAAAGGTGAACTCGTGTGTAGGACACAGAAGGAAACAGTGACGTAACAATGAAGTGTGTGTGTGTGTACTCGCTACACGCGGAACTATGCCAGATTTTGTACACGCCGAACAAAGAAGTAAAACAAAAAACCTCCAACGTTATGCAGCTATTGGTCAGGTATGCGTGTGGTGGTGGTGGGGGGGGGGGGGGTACAATCAATCTGGTCCCCACAACAGGTCAGTGACCCCTGAAATGACCAGCACAAAGATTGTTTGTCTTGACATTTCAGCTGGTCATATGTCATTCGGGGTCAAGGATGACACGCTCATAAGGTTGAGCCAATCATCACGACAAATTAGGGCCCTAGAAGTGGATCGGGTCTGGGCGTGGGGTGGGGGTGTAAACTATCTCTGTAGAGCTGACCTATATCTAATGTGGTCATTGCTCTTTCCCGGCACTGATAGCGTCCAGTGTCTGGGTGTAATTACAGTCTGGCCAGGGGAGACAAGGCAGATATACAACATAGGCAGAGATAGGCCGTGCCATACATACAGACATGAGTTCTATATTGGGCTGGGGGGGGGGTCTAGATGTCTGGGTGGCGTTTGTCCAGTGTGAGTAATGTGGTTAAGTCAGAATAAACACGACATGGCCCATGTGGGTGGTACAGCCACACAACCACACGTGTAACTTGTGGTCCATGTGGTCTATCCACACGTGTAACTTGTGGTCCATCCACACGTGTAACTTGTGATCCTTGTGGTCCATCCACACGTGTAACTTGTGGTCCATCCACACGTGTAACTTGTGGTCCATGTAGTCTATCCACACGGGTAACTTGTGGTCCATCCACACGTGTAACTTGTGGTCAATCCACACGTGTAACTTGTGGTCCATCCACACGTGTAACTTGTGGTCCATGTGGTCCATCCACACGTGTAACTTGTGGTCCATGTGGTTTATCCACACGTGTAAATTGTGGTCCATGTGGTCTAGCCACACGTGTAAATTGTGGTCCAGGTGGTCTAGTTACACGTGTAACTTGTGGTCCATGTGGTCTATCCACACGTGTAAATTGTGGTCCATGTGGTCTAGCCACACGTTTAACTTGTGGTTCATCCACACGTTTAAGTTGTGGTCCATGTGGTCCATCCACATGTGTAACTTGTGGTCCACGGGGTCTAACCACACGTGTAACTTGTGGTCCATGTGGTCTAACCACACGTGGCCAAAGCTTACCGCGGCTTTGTCTACGTAACAAGGTGTCGAGGCAGACCATTCCTCTCCACGCAAGAATTATCTCAGGTCAAGCGGGGCCAGATGTCGGAGCAGAAACACACGGGGCTCGGCTGGGGACAAGCGCAGGGTGGGGAGGGGGTGGGGGAGGGAGAGAAACCTATCTAAGGTCAGGCGCATAAGCCTTTGGGCTTTCGGAATTTCCTTGGGCCGCCGTCTTCCGCAAATAAATACCATCTAGCCATGTACATGGCGCAGCCCCCCTGGCATTCCCCGACCTGTGATGCAAGCTCACGTCAAAATTAACCCACATGTGGCCAGCATCTACTAGACGTTACCAAAGAATCCCACAAGAATTTTCAGGCGAACCACCACTTTTTTGTTTGTTTCAGGGGGCATTTTCTTTTTCTTTGTAGTCAAGGAGTTCAATAGTAAAGAGGGTACCGTTTTATTTGAGCTCTAAGGAATTAGTTCACATTTGACTTACAGGAAAATAAGGAAGAGGATTATGCTGAGAACGCTATACATAAAAGTTAATAAACATTGAAGTAACCGTTACTGGCTAAAGATTGGAGTTAACGTTGAAGTAACCGTTACTGGCTGAATATTGGAACTAACGTTGAAGTAACCGTTACTGGCTGAAGACTGGAACTAACAAAGATAGCAGACGTTCCACCCGCCATGGACGTTCCACCCCCCTCCCACCCCCACGCCGGCTGGGCAAGCGTGGAAGGATGTCAAAAGCTTGGCCCATCATCCACAAAACCCGTCTGTTATCGCACCGTTTGCCAACAGACGTAACGACGGTTCAGTCTTTTTTTTTCCTTCTTTCTCTTGAACTGTTGGCGTCAGGGGCAGATAAGTGGCGGAGTCAGCAGCTCAGTAAAAGAAGGGGGAGGGGATAGTTAGAACAAAACTAAACTCTAGAATACTCCAACCCCCACCCCAGCTTGTGTCAATGAAGGACGCATGCACGCGTGCTAAGTAATTGTTGTCTACTTCAAAAACAGTTTTCCGATAAATAAAATGCATTTGTCCCAGTGATCTCAACCATAACAACACTTTGGCCTTTAGATCTAGAATCTACCAACTCCAAGAGTCCAGCCGTCTGATATGTTACTAGAAACTGTATCTAGTTGTCTTCAAATAACCGCGGGTCGAGACACCTTGCGACAAATGTTGACAAAAGACAGACCCTGAGTATTTCTTAAACCCCGTCCCCCCACCGAATACATACAAGGTTGCAGTAAATTAAGGCAACGCCTTCTATTGCACATGAAACATCAGACAGCGAGAGGAGGGCGCCCCAACCATCTGACACGACTAAGACTTTAATATGGGCCCACTAAGCTGAATCGGCAAGAAAATCTGGCCGAATCCCGTCATATGCATGCCAGTCTCTTCCTGCTGGAGAGAAACTGTGCAATCTGGCAAGCGGATTAAGGTCAGTGTAAGACTGGGCCAGTGTGGCGGTCATTAGTTCCGGTACGTGCCCACCCACACATCTACATCTGGTGGTGAGTAATTAGGGTGTGTGTGTGTAGGGGGTTACTTAATATTACAGTCTATGTTTGTTAAAAGATGATGCACGCGGCACAAGACTGCTCACGTTCATGCTAATTTGGGTGTCTCCTGTTGTAACAGCGCTCACAGATGACGTCTCAGCTGGGATTAAAATCCCTTTCAATTTGAATGTAAATGATTGGAGAGTGTCAACAGTAGGGTGGGTCCACTGACAGGGCGTGTGTCTATATTGGCCACCATAATCCTGCTGACGTGCCACGGGGAGCCTGGCGCTACTTGAGCCACGAGCAACCTGTTGGGGACACCAGGAGCTCGAGACATATCAGACCAGGGCGGTGGGAGATCACATTACAGGGGGGGGGGGGGGGTAAGGAGGGGAGGGAGGGATGAAAGGGAGAGGGGAATTGAAGGAGGGTAGTGATGGTGAAACTTGTAGTTTCACTGCTTTCCAATGTAAGGGTCATTGTAATACAGGAACAAGAATAATCCAAAGAAATAGGGTTTCTATTTGAAGGTGTTGCTTATATTTCAAGTATAAAATAAAACACAGGGGAAAAAACTTAGAAACAGTAGCTCTAAAGCTAATAAAGCACAAAGAAATTTAAGAAAGTACTAAGAAGTAGAAGTAAAGCCTATATTGCCGGTAAAATCTTCAGCACCAAGAAATATAAAAGGAAAATAGCAAGTAGTAGCACTAAAGCTAACATTACCAGTACAAGCACAAGGAAATCTAACCCTAAGATGTGACAGAACAGACCGGTCGATAAAATTGGGGGGAGCACATTTCATTGGTCATCTTTCTTGTAGCGAGACCGCTCGATACAATACTGGTGGACTAATCTGAAGGGGTTACCAGCCTCCCAGCCAATGGTCAGTGCTTACATCATTACATCGCCGCTGCTTCTCATGCCCGCCTGCTGTGTAATCATGACACGACGAAGACTATATCTGTCAGACCCTCACGGTCGCACTACCTACAATCACAATGGCTATCTGACTAACAGCACGGCTCTAGTCCGGCCCGTCCACACCACTGGGCGTCGACTAACGCAATAGCCGGCGTTCGATAAACTGACCATACAGTTAGGACCGTCCGATGCACTACAGATGACGCTGACCAATGGCCAACGGCTGGTTAGTTGTACAGAATACAGCAGCGCTATCAGAATCCTGATGCCATTCCAATGGCCAGGGTGGATATACAAATTTACAGCAGAGAAAATGACACGTAGTTGATAGAAATTTGTTTAGCCTTGATCCTAATTACAGATTGCATAACACGTCAAGTCTTATAAGTGTTGAAGAATTTTCCTAGGAATGTTGAACCAACTGCGCTAAGACTTTGAGCAAGCAAGAGAGTCGTGAAATAACACCAAGCTTACACCATCACAAGGGAGATTGTCTTGTGGTGTCGTTGGGACGATTCAACAAAAAGATGAGCAAGTAATGACAATGTCATTTCTAATGGGGGTAATTAGAACAAAGCTCGATCGATGTTCGAATCAGGTCAGTTGGATACTCGGGAGGGGTAAGGGTGGGGGTAGAGAGGAATCACTTAATTAGGTTTTAAAAAAATAAATAATTTAGGGTCCACTAATTACAGGGACAGCTCTCTACAGCGCCGGCAGTGGAATGGCGACTGTGTGTAAAACAGAAGGATGACCCATGTGTGGACCCGGGGAGGGGGGGTGGGGGGCTGGTGGACCTTGAGGCTACTCTCTGGACACTCACACTAGTGGGCATTTTTTTAATCTGACCACTGGAGAAAGGTCAATATCGTTAAGCAAATATAACCAGAGGCTTGTCCATCCCAACTGTAGGCCAATGTAGTTGACACTGTTTGATTGGAAGGGGACTGATAATATGGCTAGGTTAGGGTGGGGGTGGTCAGTCAACATCTATAGATGTTTTATTCGATCTGGTTAATAATTGAATATAATTTAGTGTATGAAGTCAAGACCTGATACTGAATAAATTATAAAAACGTATTTTAGTAGAAAATGTGGGGTGGAAATTGTGTAGTGTATATTTATCAGTGTGAAGAAGAGCTGCTTACCTGAATGTATAGTGTTAGACTCGGCGTCAGCGACTTGCTTCTGACGCAGTGGAGTCCGGGAGGTCCTGTCCTCCCGCCTCCTCCTTTGTTCGTGTCTCTCCACAGCCTCCCCATTCACCAGGCTGTTGTGTCCTGAGGTATCCATAGAGTCCTCCTCGCCGTTCTCGTCTTTGTTATTGTCCTCACTCGCCTCGTCCTCTTCCTCCTCATCCTCCCCCCTCCGAGACGACGACTTGGACACGTCGACGCCCTCGTCGTCGTTGTCCTCGTCCGGGTCGTCGTCGTCGATGTGGTCGCCGTTGTGTTCGTTGTTGTTGATGCCGCCGCCGCTGCCCGGCTTCCGGCAAGGTCCGTCGGCCGTGTCGACATTTTCCTTGTCGCAGCACTGCTTCTTGTGCTTGATGAAGAGGACAATGTCCTGCAGGGCAAAGCTGGTCTGGCAGTCTCCGCACACCAGTAGGTCGTTCTCCTTCTCCACTGAAAGTACACAGGTCACGTGATGAGGGGCGGGGCAAACTGACACGGACTAGGGTGGGGAACAACATAGGGGAGACAACAACATGCTATAATAAAGGTATAGTTTAATCTACTCGATAAATAATTACATTTATACGACTATATCAACAAAGTTCATTTCAAACATGCAATGTATGTAATAATCAACATCATGAACTTCAGACGCATTTCTTAAATACAATGAATTAATTAGGGGTAAAATAATTAAAATTCAATGTCATAACATTCCATGAAAACAATAGGCTAGACCATACAATACTTTAACTATAGTGTTGTTACATAATATCTACAGTGGTGCTACATCAACATTCGATGCGTGCCTCGTGGTAGTAGCTGTAGTGGTGTTACAAAAGTAATGATGTGAACACAAGCAGTGGTAGTATACACAATACGTTAGTAGGCAACAGGCAGCGATGTTAGTGTGTGAAGCAGTTAGAACATGTTAGAGTACAGTGTTACATTCAAGGCTAGCCACAAGTGATATCACATAGTCTCCACAAACCGCACCGTTTGTCTCAACAAACCACACCGTTTGTATCCACAAACCACACCGTTTGTCTCCACAAACCACACCATTTGATCACATCCATATCTGGTTTGTTTTCTTGCCAATAACAGTTTTCAATTGGACATGTAAACAAACTTTGAGCAAAGTCTTATGATATTTAGACATCTTGCGTAATGGTGGAGAATAGAAATAATCTACTCAAGTTAATAGTGATAGTAATAAATGAGCAATTACTGGTACATAGCTAGAAATGTTATACAATTAATATGATATTCACACATTAGCAAAGTTTTAATTTTCCAGCTTAGAGTCAGGTATGTAGCCTGTGAAAGGTTATTTTAAAAAGTGTAAGAAAATCGGCTGTGTTAACACAATTAAACAAAAAATAAAAAGCGAAACAATTAAATTTTTAAAATCTGTTAGAAGTAATTTGTAACAAGTTGAGTTAGATTAAAAAAAAAAAAAAGCAAATGTAATGCAATGCCAGAAGAATAAATACTTGTACATGAAACAAATCTAGTTGACTAGCCTAACTATAGCGCAGCATGTGCCTTGGTTACTGGCAATAAAACAAACCTCGTTCCAGGTAGGCATATAATGTCCGCAAGAGAGCTAGGCTTTTGCTGGTGCCCATGCACCATAGATCAGCTTCCAACTCCACTGTGAATAGACCAATACATGCATGCTAATTAAGCTGCTCGCCACCAGGACAGGTAGTAGACATGTGTGTGGGTGAGTACATACTACATGCATGCTGCCAGCGCTGACCATAGGGTAGACAGACTTCATGCCTATAGTCAGCGCTGACCGTAGGTTAGACAGACGTAATGTCTACAGTATGCGGTAGACAGACTTTATGGTCAGCACTGGCCACAGGTTAGAAATAATCTACAGAGTATGGTAGACATACTTCATGCCTGATGTCAGCACAGACCACAGGTTAGACAGACTTTTTCCTACAGTCAGTACTGACCATAGGTTAGACAGACTTTTTCCTACAGTCAGTACTGACCATAGGTTAGATTTACATAACTAGTGTCAGCGCTGACCATAGACTAGACAGACATTTCATGCATGCTTATAAAATGATACCGCCCACTGCCAACAACATAAACAGCTACTGATGTTAGACTAGAAAATAAAAGGTACATCCAGCATGCTAGGTAGGGGTTAACAGAGGTTCAAAGGATAAAATAGAAACAATCACATTCATGGACTCATCTACTCTACAAATAAATTCTTTCCTAAGTAAATCTATTTTACATGAGTGTTTTATATTAACGGGTGAAGGGGGTTAGATATCAAAATAAATCCTACATCTAGATAATTAAGAATTTATATAATTACAGTATTGTGTGTATGTTATGAGTAGAGTTTAAATACGTCATCGTAAAATGGTGAGACATAAATAGCAACGGAAGTTGGAATGTTTATTTCTAAGAATAGATATCAGAAAACCCAGCTGGTATATTTGAAGGGATGCAACTCGTGTATGTTTGTTCAAGCAATAATTCCATTCAATAAACACAGCCAGCGGGAGATGAGTCGCACAAATCCTATATTACAACTCGGGGAACCACAACATCAACAATGTTTTTAGGCAATGGAATGGCTAATGTTACACTTGTAAATACTCAGCTAAAACCATATTAGAGATTTATTTTACAAGTAGAAAAACGTCGATTAAAAGCAGTTCATATTTAATAAATAAAATAAAATAAAAAACAACTGAAAGATGTTAAATGCTCTATAAATTCTGTAAACAAAGGCCCGTAAGTGAAATGGTGGTCTGACTTACTGTTATTGAGATAGAATCGGCGAATATTGATGAACCATCTGAGTAACATGGACGTTAAAACAAAGTGATTATCACACACTAAAAAACCATCACAAAGTCAAACTTGCTAGAAATGTTTTTTTTTAACACTCTTTAAACGCACAGTAACACATTTTCAATGAATGAAAGCACTTTGAGTCAATCCCAATATTTGTGTGTGTCCAACTCAGGGTTGGTGTAAAGTCCGAACGAGAAAGTGCAGCAAGTCCGAGGTGTAAGAAAGTGTAAACACTCGGTGGTCCTCACATAACGTTATCTCGTTGGTCGGCCAGCTAGTACTAACTGACTGGCATCGGGGCGGCATCACAGTCAGGCTTAGCGCCGGCTGGCGACTTGATATGCCTGGACGTGGACCCAATGGATGGACTAACCGGCCGGCGACCGCGCGAGAGGCCATCCCACCCCTCCTCCCCGCCTGGCCTCCCGTAACCCCCGGCTCCCACCCCGCCTCCTCCAAAACCTGAGGCGACTCCGCTCAAACGTAACGCTGGTCCATGGTATACGGCAGGACATCCAACTGGACGCTTGAAACAAGATAGGAGAGAGGGACCTAATGATCAGATGAGAGAGAGGGACCTAATGATCAGATGAGAGAGAGGGACCTAGTGATCAGATGAGAGAGAGGGACCTACTGACCAGATGAGAGAGAGGAACCTAATGATCAGATATGAGAAACATGGACCTAATGATCAGATGTGAGAAACAGGGACCTAATGATCAGATGTGAGAAACAGGGGCCTAATGATCAGATGAGAGAAACAGGGACCTCATGATCAGATGAGAGAGAGGGACCTAATGACCAGATGAGAGAGAGGGACCTAATTACCAGATGTGAGAAACAGGGACCTAATGACCTAATGACTATGTATAATCAACTTATAGAAACATTTACAGATATCACAATGTGCTGGTTTAAACTGACCACCAGTACCCACGTGATCAAATGTCCATTTCCCCAACACACAAGGTTATGACCTTGACCTCTGAACACCAATAAGCGTATACATGGCCATAAAGGTAGCCAGTTTGACCTGTGATGGTCGAATGATTTTCGTGCAGGTAGCATATTAAAAAAATGGCCAGGGTCAAAAGGCTACTATCGACCCACTGTACTGTGTACACCTAAATGAAGCAGTGGACAAACTATCAGCGAGTTACACATTTCTTTTTGAGTAAAAATAACTATAAATACATCTGACTTGAGATTTTTTTTAAATGTAAAAAAAATATTTAAAAAAAATGTTAAAACATTTTTCTTATTTAATCAACTGCCACCCCCCCCCCCCCTTTTTCTATATATTGGCTAGGCAAGAAGTGCAGATAAACCAATCTCACGATTAGCCTGGGGTTATCGCTTGGCATCATGGTCATCTATACCCCCCCCCCAACCTTTCACAACCAACTTGAAACCCAGTAGATCTCTGACTAGAATAACACGTGTTCACAGCCGACCGCTAGCCAATCTCCGCTGACCGCTGTTGACCGGACGGCACTCCCCTCCCCGCTTACACCCCCCCCCCCCCCCCCGGGTCCCGAGTCAGTGACCTAGGTAAGTATGTCGAATGTGTTTTATTCTCCAGTCTATCTTACACTCGGCCATCATGTGGCCATCAAAGAGAGCCATATTATTCGCTTTTTCATCTTCCCCCTGGTCCGACAGCAACGCTGGCCAGCGTACACATAAATCACCTTAAGAATACCATTAGCAGACCCCTCCCGTGTAAGCCCCCTCTCCTTCTAATGTAGTCGGCTATTCTCAATAAAGCCTATATTATTTCTTTATCGCTGTCGGCAAAAAAAAAAGTAAGTTGTAGGAATTTTCTTCTATTTCTTTTCTAAAAGATCTAGTGGTTAAGTGGAGATTTTAAAGTGCTGGATAAGTCGAGAACATTCGGCTTTCATCTAGAGAGAAAAAAAGATATTCTAGCTACATATGTAGAGGATGTATCTACATCAGTAGGTGATGAGTGAAGTGTGTGTTCTCTTTGTTTTAAGCCGTGGTCAGTAGCGTTAGACTGGCCTAGATGGCGTCTACCACTCACGGCCCCAGTGTCCACCTGAGGGGGATCACACAAAGTCACTGAACCGTATCCAAGTCAAACACAAGAAGAAAAAAATACATTTCTCACGGCAGACATTTTTACTTCTCCACCCCTCGCCCGCCCCACCCGTCGTTGGCATTCCCTGACCTTTCGAATGCCCCACCCCACTCTCGATTTGCTTGTCAGTTTGTAACCCCCCCCCCCCCCCCATCTTACTGATAGAGCCAGGTTTGTGATGAGGTGTAATACCACGCCACTATAGACCTAGTCCAGTGCCTAGGGTAAAACGTCTCTAATCAACGAACCCAATCATTGGTTGTTAACCTAAACACATATCTAACCACAGCCATCAGCGCCTGTTGGATCAACACCAACATAATCCCGACTCTAGAGAAAATAGAAGAGCTGTGTGTCAAATAAAAGTGGTCATCGCCGAGAAAAAAACAAAACAAAGACCACCGCTCCCACCCCTTCCTTGAGTGAAAACAATGGACTTAGGGTGGAGCGACAGGTGGGGCAGTGGTTCTTGAGGGGGGGGGGGGGTCTCATACCAAACCCTTCGTCTTGGTTTAAATAGAATTATAGCATCACACTAAGATATTCAGTCAAAGCACATTCATTGTCTCATTAGAATGCTCTAGAAACTTGTCTCACAAGTAAGTTTTAAAAAGTAGATTTGACTGGGGTCACCCCCCCCCCCCATTCTACAAACTTAAAGCTATCTCACTCAAATCGAAACCACACAAGCAGGTAGACACTTCCGGTCAGCGCAGGTGAGTGGATGAACGTGCTGGTATATGTGCGAGTAAATAGCCCAGCCACCGTCACAAGGTCCATCCCCCTTGGACAACAAACAAAAGGGTTGGATGACCCAGCGTGAAAAACCAACAGACTAAAGCCGGCCTGGACCAGGGCTTCCGCTGACCCAAGTCCCGGTCTGATCCGGGCACGTTTCGCCATCTCTGTGTCACACGGACCTAACCACAAACACTACCACAACCACTACCACAACCACTACCACAACCACTACCACAACCACTACCACAACCACTACCACAACCACTCGCCTCGCTAGCCAGCACAGGGGAACAGGAAAGCAGAATATACCATCTTTCATTCAAGTTAAACATGAATATAAATAAACAAATACAAGATAATTAAAACCCCCTACCCCGCCCCACCCCCCGTCTAACGGTCGGTTCTTCCTGTCCTGGTGTTTTGTTTGGCTAAGACGGACACTTCAATGAGAGTGGCCAGTCAGTTCCCAGGCCAGGCGGGTTTGCTAGGGTCAGTTGAGGATAACCACCGGTCATCTAAGGTGACCAGCTAGTAAAAAAAAAACCCATTGCCGGCTAAAAATAATCAACGGGAAAATCTAATATAGGAAATGGCATGGGATAGGAGTTTGTGTGCACATAAAAAAACCCACATCGGCAAGTCTAATGAGAAGGCTAAAGAAAAAAAAACAATGACCAATGGCCAGCTGAGGTGACCGCTAGTCCAACAAAAAAATGTTGAAAAGGTGACCGCAGAGCCCCTCGATGAAAGGGCTCTTGATTCTCACTTGACCATGAAAACAGTGGCCACGGCGACGGCTGGACAATGGGGGGTAAGACGTCCTTTTATTGTTTACTTTTATTCAATGCAAAGATTTGGGAATGGGGGGAAGGGTGGGGTTGGGGAGGTGGGAGGTGGGAGGTAGAAAAAAAAAGAAGCAGGTAGGTGAATGCAAAACTGCAAAACGCCACATCGTGTCCACCCGCAGATGACCCCTGGCC